ATATATTGAAAGATTTAAATAACGAGATTTTGGAAGGAAGATTTTATACAGAAGAGTTACAGAAGGTAACAAAATGATGCAGTCGGACTTTCTCGTCACTCTGATAAGCAACGCCAGCATGGAGTTATTTCCTGAAAATAAGCAGTCTCATTTCACCGTGAAAATGAGTCCACCTATTGATTTATGCGGGAAATGGGTAGTAGGTCTGAGGAAGGTTATTATTCCTAGTAATTGGTTTAACATATCAAATTACAATAACGATTATACTATTACTAGACATAAAATTAGAAGAGAAAATATGACCAATGTAACATGTGTGAGATCAGCCGGGGGCACCTGCAAAAGGATCCACTTACTCGGCCTATTCAGTGAGAATAGTTCCCTAAAGTTTCAGATCTCTAGATCTGATCTTAAAAAGTTTCATAGGAGAGCGATAATCGCTAGTAGATCTGAACTGTGAAGTCCAGATGCTTGTCAGGGCTGACACCAGTTTGTCAATTATATTCCGCGGACAAACACGCGTGTGAGATCTGATTCAGACACAAATTAAGAGTCATTTTATTTGATAAACAAACAATAGTAAATTTAATAAAACATAAGAAAATAAAAACGAATACAAAATATCAAATGAAAGAATGATATAACTACTACAATTAGGATACACGTCGAGAGATATATGGACTTATACTATAACCGATGCGCGATCGAGAGAGAGAGCTCACAAAATCGTTAGAAACATACAATCTGTTTTAGTTGTCATTCATCTTCTTCTCTGTAGGCAAGGGACACTTTGGAGATAAAGTTCATTTACTTCTTTCCATGGGAGATCGATATGTACACAAAATCAAAGTATAACTTCTAAGTGCTAACTCTGGAATTTCTCTATGTGACTCGTCTAAGGGCGTTGGTCATCAGGAAGAAAACATGTATGGAGTCCTGACTCTTCCAGGTCTGTCGATGAACTCCCCGAATTCTGACAAATTTCCCCTATATCTCAGGATTTACGACCAATCATATGCCAGAAACTCTTTCATGTGAACGGATGAAAGGGAAATCAAAGAGGGGTAGATAGTTCCAATCTGAGCGAGATTTTTAGCAGATAAGGGAAAAACAGAGGATGTACTAACTTCTGTGAAAGGAAGTAACATCTGTTATCTGCCTTTTCCCACGTTAAAACACTATTTTTCTCACAAAAATGAAATAATATTTTATGACAATATTTAACATTATTAATAAAATTACTATTTTAGACCCAGGGGCCTTTCAGAACTCACACATGTGAGATTCCATTAACTACAGGCGATGAAAATGAAAAAAAGACAAATTTCGATTGGATAAACAAGAATATAGTTTCGTTAACAGGATCCAAGTTGGCAGAATTTGTTTTAGACAAAAATTATAAAAACATAAAACTAAATTTGAAAGAGGAATTCGAGTTGCATATTTCGAGAAACAATGCTCAAAAGCTACTTTATTTTTTAAATTCATTGAAACAAGATATTACATTTAAACAACAGAGTTCAAGTTTAATATTGCGAGGAGCGAGTAAGGGATATATATCAAATCCTAGATTTTACAAAGATCAGTTTATAACTTTAATAAAAAGAAATAAAAAACTTGTCGAGGAAGTCGATGTATACAAAAAATTTTTTATTACCATCGGGTTATATTCCTCTGTTGAAAAATTTTTCAAAGTTTTTAAATATATTAAATTAGCATTACTACCTAATAACAAAATCGTTTTAAAAGTTCATGAAAATATAACGATTGAATTCGAAAACGAATTAAAAGATTTGTTAGGATTCTAAAAAAGCAAATTTTTCAAAGGTGAATATGTGAGCGACTATCCCATCGAATTATCTGCGGGAATTTCAGAAATTTTTATTTATTCGAATGTGGTTGCTTCTCATCACGTTGGGGATATAACCGCTCCACTTTTAAGGGTTATACCTGTAATGGGGAAAAAGAGAGATCAAATAGTTAAAGCCTACCAATCACCTTTATACTTTCCTTTACGATGTAATTATATAGATACAATCGAAATCGAGCTGAGAACTGTGAGCGGAAAAGAGATTGTCTTTTTTGGAAAAAAGACATTTGGTTTTGGTTGCTATGCCTTGACTCTGGTCCGGCATAGTACACAGCCACACGTGTGTACCGAGTATAACCCACTAAACCCAACACATAATAATAATAATAATACATACATACATACATACCTTAATTTAGATTATAATTTTTTTTATAAACTAATTGTAGAATTTGATTTTGATTTCGAAAAAAGAATAATAAGAGAAGAGATCCCAAGCCCAAAACAGCTGAGGCTGGTGAAAACAAAAAAAAACAAGATTTGAATTGGATCTAACAGCCGAGAAAAGTAAGCAGATAAAAATTCCTGACATTAAAGTTAAGATTAGCTAACCCGAGAGAATCGAGATACAGGAATTTCAGTCTAATTTCTATGTATGAGAGCGGCGTATATTTCCATTAAATACATTAAATCAGTGACAAAAGTTAATATTTCGTATAAAAGTATGTTTTAAAATGAATTTTAATCTCTACTTTATAATATATACTCATATATATATGCTTATAAAAATTTTTTGCTCAGAATCTGCTCATCAAAAATTTTTTTGCTTAGAGAAGTAAATGTTCCGCTTATCTACAAATAATTAGAGGGAACATTGCTTATAATAAGTAGAATCTTCTACTTAATTGTGATTTATTTATAGTGATTAGTTAATAAACTTTAACTAAAAACGAATTTACTAAAAACACTTAAATTATGCTAATTTGTAACTTAATCAATTTTAAGTTAAATCGACTCTTCCGCATTACGTTAATTTTGAACAAAACGAACTTTAAAATTTTAAAATATAAAAATTTACGAAAAATCATCTTTTAACTACCTTCAAAACTGTTTGTTTTTTGCAATTCACAGGAATTATCCTATTGTTTTCTGAACAACTGAAACGAAAATTATAAATAATTAATGGCTTCTATGTTTTGTTTAATCTAATTTATTAGCTTGCAATTTAATAAAATTATAGACTTGTTTATATATAAGACTTATTATAATAGTGTAGTTCCTGATTAGCAAATAAAAAATAACTTACTTTAAAGTGAAAACAAAATAAGTTTATTTACACAGAAACAGAAAGCCAGCAGTTTAATAAGTGCTAATACTAAACCAGGTTATTTAATGTGAAATATTCGAGAAAAAGTTATTTTTTTAAACGTAAAAATATCCGATTGATTTCGATCTTTTATAAACATAGAAGCATTAATTTTCGTTCAAACGAAACAAACTTAATTTTTCTGTGTGTTTAAGTGTTAATTTTCACCCTTCCTGCTTAACCACAGAAAATGAAGGTTTCCGAATACATTTTCGAAGGTTTTGCTTTCAAAAATAAATTTTAGTATTACACATCATCTTGTCAATACATAGAATTTTATTTTAAAAATTATTTTTTATAAAAAATGTTATTAAAAATTGCTTTTACTTAAAAAATATAAACGGATTTTTCCAATATAATACAGGTTTTGCCAAAATTCCTAACACAAGAAAAAGTTGGGGTCTGCTTACAATACATTTTATTTCGGAACATGCGGCTGATTGAATAAACCTTGCACAGACTTGAATGAACTCATGCAACAACTAGAGCGTATAAATGCGTTTAATCTAAAACAACTGTTTTTCTTTGTTCTATGTTGTGGACGTCATGTGGCAATACATCGACTATATTGTGAGGGTCGAAAGGGGTGAGAAAGTTTATAAATAATATAATAGGTTTAAAAAGAAACTAAAATTTTAGAGAAAATAATATTTCGAACTTCACCAAGATTTAATCTACACAAAACAGAGGAAACATAAGAATTTTGAAAGTAAGTTGATTTCCTTTCCCAGGCGAACTGTTGATAAGTTGATAATTTTTCACACGGTCCGGAGGAGGATATAAAAGGGCAGTTTTCGCGTCTCTCGAGGCAGTCCATTGAAGGAAATTTGCCATATGAAGTTTCACATACAGAACGGCAGCAATCCGTTAGAGAAAGGTCTTGCCATACAATACCTCCGAAGCAGTCCATAAAGAAGAGACAATTGCCATACTAAGGAGAATAATGTAAGAAGCCAATATACGACTACGAATACAAATACAAATCCAATATACAAATATAATACAAATCCAATATACGACTACGAAAGGGTTAAGCTGACGTATAGAATACGATAAGATGGTTTGAAAGGAAAGATATTTGAAGAACTTCCCAAAGAAACATTAAGAAGACATAATACGAAAGGAAGGAAGTAGATTTTCATACAGATACGAAAGATACAGAGGTAATACAAGCTCAGAATAGATCGATGTAAACTCTCTCACGCGTTAGGTTAGAAATAATATAGTTTAAGTTAGAATTAGAAATAGGGTAGATTTTTCGTTGTATGTTTTTATTATTTGGTTTATTAAATATTTACTTTGTTTATAAACGACTTGGTTCTTGTTACATATTCATCTACATTTAAAGTCCCATGCTTCTTCCGATTTCCGAGTTTAGGGATAACGCGTGTTAATCCGAATGTAATAAATGTGATTAACTGATGTCAACAGGAATCCTGACGTTGGATAGAGACTACACAGTCTTTAATCCTCATAAAGCTAAATATTACAGCCCTCCTATGTAAACTTCTAAGATCAGATCTAGTTTTAGATCTGATCTTAGATCTAGAGAACTAGTTTTACCAACTAGCTGCCTATTAAATGATACAGGCGTAACAAACTACCCTGTTCCCCAGGCTGGATCTCACAATATTGTCAGATCGAATCTCAATATTTCAGTATTGAACGTTATGTTATAAAATTTTTTGCCGATTAAATTAATTTTCGTGGTTTTATATAAATGTTTGTTTGGAAAAGAATGAAATAAGCCAAAAATCTATATTTGTGTACAGTAGAATTGAATTTATGTCTTATTTTTTTTCGTAAATTTACATAAAACATAATTTATAATATTTTTAAGGGAATTACACATTTTGCTTCCATATCTCCACTAAGAATTTTTAATAAAGTTACGAAATTGGTTTTTATCTTCTCGATAATATTTGTTTCTATATTATCTAAAGCAGATTGAATATCTAATTTTAGAATGTTATCGATCAAATTACAATCCGTAAGTCCATTACGGCTATTGGCAGTAATACTAGCAAGACATTCGTCTATTTTTGCTGTAACATTTCTTCCAATACTTTCTAACAGATCCGGTAGTTTATTTAAAATTAGTGCTGAAAGACAGTTTGCCGCTTGTACTAAACTAGCCGTATCATTTTTGTAACAAACTTTTTTTAACAGGCACGATATATATGTTACACTTGACATCACGTTACTTCCGCCGTCTATTTCATTTTCGCAGCCGAGTGAAGGGAAATTATTCGAATCCAGACACTGCGGTAACCCAACTGTTATATTCTGAAAATATCAAGAAAAACTAAAATTTAAAAAGAGAATCTCTGACTACTTTTTTAAGATTTGGACGTATAATTTCTAGTTAATAAAGAAACAGTAAATATTAAATATATGTTACTATAAAATTTTACCAAACAATACATGTGATTGTTGCAATTATATTAATTAAAAATTAAAGTTAATTAATTAATTAATAATCCTTTATTAGCTGTTCTTAGCTTTTTTTTTAAATACATAAATATAATTAGAAATAAATTATGATAATTATCGTAAATTTTTTATTAGGAATGCATTTTCTAAATGAATGCGAAATAATGATTGTTTCAATCGGATTCGCCATGATTAAGTACGAGTAACATTACTGTACTTCCAAAAATATACTTTAGATTATTGTAGTAAATATGACTTTGTCGTCTTGTAACATAAAGTGACATGTGTCATAACTATTTATATAGTATTTAGTAGATAAATGCCTTAGCTGTAAAAGTAGAAAGAACAAATCAAGTTTCTATAATAACACTGGCGCATATGGAAAAGCTATATATTATTAATTACTTATGTTAATTAAAAGTTTATACTTACAATAAGTGCTACTTTTAACTCTTCAGTCACTTGAGGAAATAAAGTTTCAAAATTAAGATTTTCATTCACAATATTTTCAATTCCTTCGAACACACAATTTCCGGGTTGTTTTGGAATTAAACCTCAAAAATAAATTACAAATAAAAAATAAATATTAATGTTATGAAAAAATATTTAAGAAGAACAAATTCTACTAATGTAAAAACAAGGAAATAAATAAGTACTTAAAATGAAGAACGGCAGCAAAAACATCATCATGATTCTACTTGCAACTGAAAAGCAAAAGAAAATGCGTAAATGAGACTTCAATTGGCAATGACGGATTATATTATATGACACTAATTTATATAATTTAATATGTACAAGTTGTGATTTGACGTCATGTAGATGAACAGCGCGATATTTGCTCNAGAAAGAGGAAAAAATTGTCTATAATAAGCGAAATATAATTTTCAAGTTTATAATTTTAGAAAATTATTCATTTTTAATTTTTATTTCATCTGCCTCTACAATAAAGTACACGTCAGCTACAGTAGCTGACATTTGTTTCTAAAGAGAATAACACATGCAGTTTTAGAACAAGTTAAAAAGAATTTGTCATAAATATAACATAATTGTTTTTTCACGAAAATATGTATAAAATTATTTAATCTGCGTTTACAATAAAGTACACGTCAGCAATAGCAGCTGACATTTGTCTGTAAAGAGAATAACACATGCAGTTTTAGAACAAGTTAAAAAGAATTTTTCATAAATATAAGGTAATCGTTTTATCATGAAAATATTTGTAAAATTACCTAAATTATGAAAATAATTTTCATTTAGCTTAATTAAGTATTTAAAATTATATGAAATCAGATACAGATGAAATGGTTTCGTATATGCAAAAATTCACGCAATATCAGGATGTAGGCTCTTTTGTAAGTTTTAAACTCGAAACAAATTTTAGGAATTCGAAGCTAGACTTTCTGACCCAGCAAGGTATTGCCTCACTTCGAAAGACGATCTTCTAGACTTCTAAAGACGTTTTGGAAGACAAAGTTATTTCCTCTCACCTGGGAATTATTGATTTCCACCTTCGTTAGGATTTACAAATAACCAACCAATTAACAATAACCCCAGTTGTTACATGATAGAGGGTAACAAAAAGATCACCGACAAGGTTAGAACGAACCGAAAAAACCCCCCTCTTTATTACGTGCGATGTGAACGATGAGAAAACAGATCAAGGTGGCCATAGAAAGCAACAATGATTACTAAAGTGCAAGAATAATTATGACCTTAGTCACCTCTAGCAATTAATACCGTCACTTTGACAACTGTTATCAAATTTATGAAAGGGAAGAAGTGACAATACCGGATAGAAGTAGTACTAAATCTACAGAAAGATTCGGATGTTTGACAACTAACATAAACAACTCCGGACGAGTCGAAATTACATGGATTTGTATCAGAATGTTTCCCGATTTTTCCCCTCCTCCGCTGGGACACAGTCCTCCGGGCGGACGTTCACAACTAATAGCATCCGAGGACGTCTACAGCGGACACCAGACCCCTACAGCCACTCTGTCCGTCGCTATCTGCCACAGTTGCCATCTCTATCTCAAGATAACCAAATGACCACCTCTCAGGTCCACGATAGTCCAGACGACGTCGTATACCAGAGTTAGAGGTATTTTTAAAAAATTTTGGCTCTCTCTATCCCCGAGACGTCCTTCTTAAAAAATTTCTTTCATCTCTTAGTTTAGCTTTAAGAATAGACGTAGATGTTCCATTGGAAAGACCTATCATTGTCGCGAGCTAGAATAAAATTTCTGATTATTTCGATTTGTTCCGTTTTGCTTTTGCCTTCGAAGTGTATAATTTTGATCAAACTGTGTACTTATTCGGAACCTGTCGACGTACTCATTGACCTCTCCACTCACATTTTTAGCCCATTCAAAGCCATCTTCTGACAGAGCCGCCGGTAAGCAAGGTAACTGTGCCCCTCAAATAAAGTAAAAATCATCAATTTAAACTAAAAGTATATACCACAGTTTTTCAACACGATTACTTGTATGTTAATTAAAAGAAGTAAACAGTTTACTTGCATATGACACAAAAATCAAATTGAAAAACGATACGAATAACTAAAATTTTTATGATAAAAGCCGATGTTGTAGTTTTGACAGGAAAAAACTTAAATAGGAAATAACAAAGGCAGATTTCATTCTCTTTACCTGTTTAAGCTTTTAATAATTAATTAGCATATTTTATTTATAACAAGTAGAATCTACTTAATTGTGATTTATTTATAGTTATTAGTTAATAAACTCTAACTAAAAACGAATTTACAAAAAAACACTTACATTATGCTAATTTGTAACTTAATCTGTTTTAAGTTAAATCGTCTCTTTCAAATTACGTTAATTTTAAGAAAACGAACTTTAAATTTTAAAAATATTTTAAAGTTCTTTTAGCTACCTTCAAAACTGATTGATATTCGCAATTCACAGGTGTTATTCTATTGTTTTCTGAACAACTGAAGCAAAAATTATGAATAATTAATAATATTTTTATGTTTTGTTTAATTTTATTTATTCGCTTGCAATTTAATAAAATAGTAGGTTTGTTTATTTATAGGACTTACTATAATGGTGTCGTTCCTGTTTAGCAAATAGAAAATAACGTGCTTTAAAGTAAAAAGAAAACAGACACTTTAACATTTCGTAGATAAACACCCCAATATTATTAAATGGAAACACCGCACTATCGAAATGTCAATTTTCGGTTTAGAATTACAAGAAGAACTGAATTCGGCTACTCTCATAGTACGCTATCAAGTTTGTCATACAGTTAATAAAAATAGAAACCATACGTAATCTCTTTCTTCTTACGTCGTCGTGCGATTTGTCAGACACCGAACGGGGGCAAGTCGATAACGAGGACACATAGACGTAACGGGCAGAAAAAAAAATAGTGAGTTGGGACTCTGTTCCACGAAGTGTTACTGCAGACATCTAAATTATAAATCAAAACAAAGATTGCTTAACAATATCGTCTAATATTATTAGTCACATCTTGACAGATCAGAGCCTCTGTGCCACAGTAACAATCAAACCCGGGAGAATAACAAAATGAGTCGTCTGCTGTCAGGAAGGTAAAGATGAAAATTGAACCGTAAATCACGACTAGATAGAATACATTTTAGCATGACGAAAGTAAATCGTACCTTCACAACGCGGGATGGGGCGCGATAATTAAAATAATGATAGACTTTTCACGTAAAGTATAATTACTTCTTTTGCAATCAGACAAAAAAAAATTCCGAAAAAGTCGAGATAGTAGTGCTACCCTTCATGGTCACAGTCGGAAAGGACCTCGGAAGCCAGGTAGAGGACAGGAAACGACAAACAAAAACACTGAAAAAAATCTGGGTGAGTGAACGACCCAGTTCACATGGACGACGGCCTAGTTATAAGTCGAGGAGAGAGGACGGAGATTTCCGCTTAACGAACAATCAATTACCTCGTGCCAATTAATATATTGGCACGAGGACGAACTCGTGCCAATCTCCTTTCATTCAGCCCGAAATTACAAAAAAAACGAAAGAAAGTAAAAAAAGGCTCATCCTTAAAAATTAATTATATGCAAAGCGTAACTAAAATAACCTTGTCAATGTGAATAAATTTACATCGGGTCTCTGATAGTATATCATGGAGATTCTCCACGTGTATACGACAGTTTTCGACACTATTACTTGTGTATTAGGAGAAATAAACAGTTTATTTCCATATAACACAAAAATTAAATTTAAAAGTAATACGAATAACTTTAAACTTTTTCTCTAATAAATGCCAATATGGCCGTTTTGACAGGAGAAATGTTTAAATAGCAAATAACAGGAGAAGTTTTCAACTTCGTTAGCTGTAATAAATCATCTTTTAGCTAACTTTAAATCTATTTATTTGTAATTCACAAGTGTTATTCTATTTTTGTCTAGACAGGTAAGCTGCTTATGAATAAAACGTACACATTATGTCTGCAGCTTATGCTAACTGCAGACTGAAACGGAAATTACGAATGATTAATGTCTTCTATATTGTGTTAAATTTTTATTTATTGGACTGCAATTTAAAAAGCTAGTAGACTTATAAATTTCCACTGTCGTCCGTCTGTGTGTCTTTTCGTAATTCCCAGAACAGAGTTAAACAGATGAAACCGAGAGGAGTTATGAAAACAATACGGAAAAATGTTCTGTTTCACTTCTGCTACAAACCATAAGTCACGCTGCTTCGATTCAAAAATTTTCTTTGTTATAGTGTTAGAAATGTAACCGGCAGGACTCTATTCCTAAAGAAGAAATATGACATAGAGGGACAAGACACTACAACACTAATTGGAGGTGGAAAGCAAATGTTTAATATTAAATAACTTAAAAATATGATTAAAAATTCCAGTCCGGCTTTCTGAGAATATCACAATACATAATTAGTGGTTTATATTAGAAACATGTCAACGAATGTCTGATTCTTTTTTTTTAATTTTGCTATTTTTAGGTTATCTTCTATAATAATCTATCTGATCGATGAAATCACGAAAGGATAGGTAGATATAAATGAGGCATTTTAATTTCGTGGTTTATGTTAGCGGCATCAAACAAGTGCCCGTCAAGTTGTTCATTATTATACTGGTGTAGATTCCGATTAGCAAATAGAAGAGAACGTACTTTAAAGTCAAAAGAAAATGTTTCTATTTTCACGGAAACAAAAGCTTCACCAGAATAATAAGTGCTAAATACAAACCACATCCAAGTAATGAAAAATACAAATAAAAATTTATAAGAGTTAATATACATGACTTTTTCATTGTCTTATTTCAAATAAATTTTACTAATTATAACAATAAAAAATTCTTGCTGGCTTAATCACCTTTTATCTTTTACACTAAACGGTTTAGTTTAGCGTAATTCTAGTGTAAAAAATACCCGAGTATATATCAATTAATTAATTAGCTTGGAACCCCATAACTTTGAACTCAAGCTATGGGGTTCTAACATAAATATTCGAACTCCATAGCTTGGAAACGTTAATTAAAAATTATAATTTTTGCATTTAATTATTAAAATAATTAATAAATTGCGATATCTCGCTTGAAAATCGCGCTATAATCGATCTGTTTTGTTTTTTATGGCAAACATGTTACTCTTTACAATGTTTAAATTCAATATATAATACAAATTTAAATCGTTTCTGAATGCTAAATATTCCAGAAAAACGTTATGACCTAGATT